AGAGATGGGTACTATATCTCCAAGTATGTTCTTTTCTTGCCATTGTTGGCCCATTTCTGACATTGCCAATGCAGGTCAGCCAGTTCCAGTTTTCAGCAACTACTTCAGATTCTTCCTAAAGTCAGTCCTACAAGTAACAAATCGTAATCTTCTCTACTGTCCCCCAAATGTCACATTCTTAAGTTACTAATGTACTAATGTAGAAGAGGAAGGAAGTCTCTTGTGCCAAAGGATCAATAATTTAAGAATGTAAAAACTATCTTCTAGTGCCAAAACCTGATATAACAGACTTTACCAAGGATGAACAGAAAAAATTAAATGATGTATTTTTATACAGCAGATCTTCCACTAAATAAGTGTGATTTTAATTCGATGACTTTAGATTACTTTAATTCTTCTTTTAGCATTAAACAAACAAAAAATAACAGAACCAACACAAAAACCCTTTAAGAACTCTGTGCTAATGAATGCTACCACCTGTGTATTACTAACACTGAAAAATGGTAATATGGAAGCAAGAAAATCAGTTAGCAGCAACAGCATTTACCTACAAAATCAGAAATGGAGTAGAAGCAGGAAAATAAGAGTATAGATTCATAGGAGTATCTGTAAGTACTTTGGTTACCCTTTAGTGCTCAATAATTTCTCAATTTCTAAAGAAAACAGTACTCGTTTTTTCACACAGTTCCTGATTTCTGTATTTCAAATATAAATGATATTGCTAAAACAGTCTCCTGGTGCCTTCCTTCCACCACTTCTGCAGCAGTATTGTCAGAAAGGCAGTCTCCAGGGTGCTGTAGTGGCTGCAGCCTTACTCAGCTGGCAGGTTAACCAGCTCACGTGGACCTTGACATCTGATATTGGCTGCAATTCATAGGAAACAGTCATAGGATTCCCTTCTCCTGTGATAAACACTCAAATGGATTTTCATAGGGCCTGGTAACTTTCTCAAAGTATAATGGGTCCTCCATATTCTACTGAGGACAAGTCTTTTCTACCTTAAATATAGTGAAAACATGGTCAGTATAATGAATGAACTGCAATTTCATATGTTAACTAAATATTTCTATCTGATCCCCTGGTTATACCATACCTTCAGTTCCCAGGATCCAAGTGTTCTTGAGTTACTGTTTCTAGAAAAGGAAATAATGCAATCCATTTATTAGAATTCAGATACTGAAATGAAACTTACCTAATAAGGATGACCTTTATGTTATCTCTCTTTACTGAAATCATATGTAAAGCTAGTTGCTATGATTTTAATAGAGCTTACTAACCACATACAAAAAAGATCAAACTTGCAGGTGGCTATACCTCTGGATGGAAAGGCTATATAAATATTTAATTTATTCTTGACCTCATTGAATTTTAGTTTTATGCAAATAAGAAGTTACTGAAAATTCAACTGCACCTATAAATCAACAGTTTTTGGGTGCACCAAAAAAACATTCATTTTATAATAAGATTCACTTTAGGATTGTAAAAATACTCAGATACATACACATATATTTCTGTACTCTTGTGAGCATTCTTTTTTCATTTTTTTAAACACTCATGATCAATAAGGACATCACCTTCATGCTCCTTTGTCATTTAAAAAGAATGACATATATACCCATATTTCTTTAGAGCCAAAATCTTTGATGGTAATTTATGAAAATAATTCACTTCAAAATAAAAGTAAATAAAAAATAAAATTAGGTAGAAGCTTTGGGTGGCAAAAAGCAAATAATTACCATCCTATGCAAAAATATCAAAAAATATTTGCTAATATGAAAAAGCCAGCCTGATACCTTATTTGTAAGACTGTTTTTCAATTTCTCATTGTAATTCATGTTTAACTGATATTAAAGCAGATGCTTAATTCTAAAAAATGCTTAAGGTAAAAAGACTTAGGAACTTCTCAACGTCTTACTTTTACAATAGTCCAACTTAATGTCCAATATATGGAATCTCTTTAGGCTAGTATACTGAAAAGACAATGTCATTGACTACCCTTTCAAAATCACTTAGGGAGCTTACTGAGACACTCACCCCCAAACCTGAAAACTCAGTGTACCTGTATTTTAAACAAATACCTGAGGTATTCTTGGTAGACACTTAAGTTTAAGAACCACTGCTTTACCCAATACAAATCCTGTCATTTCATGCTCAGGGCCTTAAATAACATCTGAATGCTGTAGTTCACTGTTTCTGAGTGGCAATGTTTATCACCACCTAGTGGTAAAATCCCTTATTTTACCTCCTATCTGTTCATTGATATCACATAGGTACCAAGTAAAAGAGAATAAAATTCAGGGAATGAGAAAATTTTAGAGTAATAATTTCCTTAGTATTTTGCATTAATTTTTCATCTATGGTGGGATAACAGAGCATAAAAAGTAAACTTATAAATAAAACCACACCATTACCATTGAATAAAAACAGTATATATGCTAGAAGAAACTTTCCTAAAACACATCCGTTGTTATATCATTGCCCTGTGTGCCTCCAAAAACACATTTCACAGTGCAAATTATGCTCTTCTTTTGGAAATACAGGGACGGAACATATTAGCATATTAAAGCCTCTGGGAAGTTTCACGATCGAAAAAATCTGTGCAATAATAACTATTTTCTAAATGTATTTGACCATGAAAACTTCTTCCCTAAAGAATAACGGACTTCTCTGAAGACATTAGTACTTCAAGGAACATAGCTTGGACATGATGCTCTAGAAACAACAAATCTGATACCTGCTTTCAGCATCTGTAACCTACAGTAAAAGACCTGACAATGAATTTACAAGAAAGTTTTGATCAGGCTTTGTTTTAAATGCTATTTATATCTGAACCACATATTTGAAAGAGAAATTTATTGATCTGAATTGCTTAACATTTTTTTCTTTTTTTAAATTAAAGAAATACACACCTAATAAAAACTCCACTATGTTGGCAATTTTAGTAACTGACATATGCAACGCATTTAAGGATCTGAATATAGTATTATGTTCTTATACCCAAACTGGATTTGAGAAGTAAACATTTAAGTGAATACGTAAGTACTAGATTATTAAATGCTATTTCTTAGGTTCTAGAACTTCATCTTAAGAAAAACGTGACATTCTGACTTTTCAAAATAAAGTTTTAGGGCTCACCTGCAAGAGAACTGAGACATGCAGTTGGAAAACACAACAGACGGTTGCACTGTAAAAGCAGTGTTTCGTAGGCAGAGAACAATTCTCCAAGTCTCTTTAGAATTAATATGAAGGAATCAAGGAAATATATCTGCATAAGACACTTTACTGAAACCACAACTGTTTGCTGAAACTGGCTGACATTAAATGCAGCATGGACAAGTTGGAATTACTTAATGCAAATAGAAAATCTGGAGGGCAGGAGGGTGTGAGAGCTGAAAGAGCTGAATCACCTGAAAGATTCAGCTTCTTCTGTTTGACCCAGTGAAAAACCTAAAGACTAATAGGTGATTAATTGTAGGGAATCATATTTTGTCAATTATGAGGATTAACCAAAGATGCAATGGACTCAGGTATGACTTAAGAGAACTCCCTTCCTACTTTTACACTGTTTAGATTAACCAGCTGGCAGGAATATTTCTGGGAATATTCAAACATCACTTGAGTGGTAGAGACTGATAACCTGTAGGGCACCATTTGGTTCCAATCCATGAAAATGGAACTACGCGTGCAGTAAATGAGCTTAGGATGAATAAGTCTACTTGTTCATAATCAATCAACTCTCCTTACTTAGGTTTTTCATTTTGAATGAGAATATCTGCTTCCTTTATAAAATGTGCCCTTTGGGAGCCTGGGTGGCTCAGTTGGTTAAGCGACTAACTCTTGATTTCAGCTTAAATCATGATCTCGCAGTCCTGAGATAGGAGCGCCGCACTGGGCTCCAGGCTGGGTGTGGAGCCTCCTTAAGATTCTCTCTCCCTTTGTCCCTCCTGCATGTGCTCACACATACTCTCTCTCAAAATAAATAAAAATATGCTCTTTGGTTCACAAAGATTCCATTCTCATTCAGTAAGCCCTGCCTGGGAAGAGGAGATTGAAAGTTTTATCTCAATTTACTAAAATTACCAATTCAAAAAAAGAATTTTCAACTTTTAAATGGAGAGATGTCAAACTATGCAATACTCTATTACGCCCAGTGAACTTAATCTTTTATTATTTTTAGTTTAACTCAGAATGTGGAAGGCATGAGGAGGTACTTCAATGGTTTTAATAACTGCATACCATTTATAATATCTTTAAGATGCTGAGTTTCTGATTTAGATACACCTTTTTGATACACATCATTCACCTCAATAGCAGCTAAACATTTTCCTTGGATTTTCAAAATACAAGCATAGTAGGGTCTTAATCTTTAATCTTTTTTTGAAATGACTATTCTATCATAATCTGTTCTGAAATTACATGTTATATTTTTGCAGTGACCATTATATCTTGTATTTATAAAGGGAAAATGTCCACCCTCCCGCAAGGCCACTGATATTTATTTAAACTTATCAACAACTTAAAACTTTTTTTAATCACCGTTGCTCTATAATCTTAAAAGATCTTTACAAAATTACCAACAAATTTTGGTGTAACTATAAAATATAGTCTAAAATATTTCTAATAATGTATTTTGGTTCTTGACTTAAAGTGTAAGTAGCCAATCTGGATGTGTAGGTTGAGCAATTACCATATTTTATTGAATCTAAGATGCAACCGACTGAAGGAAGCACTTTTGCGTTCTGTTGAGAAATAAAAAGAGGTTGTCAACTACAGTATGGCACATAATCGGTATTAAGATGTTTCCAATTTGAGAAGTGTAAAAATGTGAAAAAATGTGCATCTCAAAATCAATGAAATATGTCATTTAGTAAAATTCTAAACACTGTTTTATTTTTTATTCTCTTCTTTCACATAAATAAGGCATGATTTAGTCAAGCAAAGAAAACTTTATTTCTGCTACACATAACAACATATTGCTCTAAGAAACAACTATTATATTAGTTTTAGCACTGACGTGTGGATTCAAAAATTCATGTCAACAATTCGTGCTCCCCAGACAAAACAATGTTGTGCACAGACTATCAGGTATATGAAAAAAAAAGCTGTCAACTGTCCACAGGGAGTGCGTCCAGTCACATTTTCAGTCAGTCAGCTGAGGATTATGTCATTATTTAGTCTTTGTTCTGTAGAAAGAACACAACACAAGTATGAAAATCATCACCTGAAAGGAAACAGCTGTTGTATATAGTATTCCTATAATTATAATGTTAGGAATTTCCTGTATTTCAAAGTAACCAATGTTATCTGCTTACTTAATCATAGACGCCCCAAAATAAGCAAAACCAAACTTACTCAGAAGGATGATGTAAACAGGTACTGAATTTCTGGAGGGAAAATGCTGTGAATTAATATAAAATCAGGATGCTCTGAAATACTAAAATGTTTATTTTCCTCAAATAGAAAGAGAAACATATTTTGCACATCAAACCCAGCTCAGAATAGAACTCAATTACTTTCAAAATTGTACTCAGTTTTTCCTATTTTATAGGTGTAGCTCACCTAATCCTAGGCCTATTCCTTAGAGATAAAAGGAACCAACCTTTGAGTGGTACTGGTGTCTTCTTGAAATTAAGGAAACAAACAAAAAAATGCTTCCCCCTCCAAGAATTTCAATTTCAATTTTCATGTAAAACTTGGTAAACTTTCTCATTATTTTATTGAACCTTAAAATATGTACATTTACTTAATATACCAACAAAGGAGGAGAATCACTGGAGTCCACAGTAAATAGGAAATCTACAGCAAAAATAAATTTAAAAACATTTAAAGCTAATATAGCTGATTATTTCCCACTATTTCCAGCTAACCTGACCCTATTTTATCTTTGCTCTGAATAAGTACAATTCAATAAAGGGAAAAAGGACAGATTTATATTTTATGAAGAGTCATGCTGAAGTATATGCACTTCCTCTATAATGCAGGGAATGGGATGAAGGTACGCCACTTTTACAGGGAAAAATGTGGTATGATAAAGCTTCATTCCCATAGCACTGAATGCCCACAGTCTGTATATTAAACTTTTAGTTTCTGACCATTTAGATGAGACAACATCTCAAAGATTTCACTGAAATCACCAATGCAACAGTTTTAGTTCATACTTGCAAAACATTATTTTTATAAAGACTTCTGCTGATTCATTTCTCTCACTAACCCTATTAAAAAAATCAGACTCAGGAAGGTGAAGAGGTCTGTCCAATCACAGTCAGGTATCAGAGTTAGAATTCCAAGCCAGATCTTCTGATTTTTAAGTATAATATTTTTGTATTATATAAATAATCACCAGGAAAGGCTCATCCACAAGAGTAATTCATACATTTTCCCCATAATAAAAACATAGTATTATTGTACTTTTTTAAGGACAAAGATTCTTTGAATAAAATAATTGTTATCTACATATTAAAATATCCAAAGACACAAACACATTTTTGTGTGCTATTTTAGAAGACAGCTGGCTAACCAGAATTCAGGTCTTAACATTTTATTTGTAAACATAAAAAAACAGCTTTAAGAACTTGCTAAGTCATTTTCACTGGCATTTTAATATTTCTACATTATATGGGGTAATGGGAATGAATTTTATAATTAGATAAAATATTTTAAGACATTTCTAAATTAGGATTATTCACAATGGGTCCAAATATTGCCAAATGCCTTCTAGGTAGGAGGAACTCATCACCTGACTTGCTCTATATTAGAAGGTCATCAGCACTAAGGCATGAGACAATCCATTCTGATACTTGCTAGTTGCCATAATTGGTCGGAAAGAAAATTGATGTAAAAAGAAATCTGCTTTCAAGTCAGTACCTTCAAAGTGAATCTAAAGTGCTTGCCAACTGCTATCATTTGACCAGCAGTGGACTTGGAAAGCTGGCGTGTGTGTAAACAGGGAAACTGTCAGCTTCCCCTGAAACTCAGAATTCATTTCCAGAATAAAAAAGTGAAAGAGCTGAACATTTCTACTTTAAAGAATGTCTCCCTAAGCCATGGAGATGTGAGTTGAATTATCACAGAAAAAGAAATTTAAGTTTGATTCTGAAAACTAAAGAAAAAGGAATTCATATGGCTGTATGTACCATTATAATAGATAAAGAGTTTTTGGTAAATTGTCTGGGTTCTTTTTTTAATACAAATATGCATATGAGAATACTTTCTGAATGTGTAGTTTTAATGCACAAACTCACAAATTTAAAAGTCCACAAAAAACCAACATTTAAGTTCAAAAGTTCCAAAAACACGTATTATTTGATATTGCTTTTAAGGTATTACACTAGTGAGATGTCAAAAACACTCTTTATAAAGGCTATTATAAATTAATTTATAACTCAAGACATTAATCCCTCAACTTAAAAAATCTTTAGAACTATTTCAATTTTAAAAAGTTACATAAGCATATAAAAGTCTAATTCTTAACATCTAAGACATTCACAAACAAAAAAAGCCACTATTTAATTTCCTATATTGAAATCTGATTTTATTTTATAGAAGGGCAAAAACATTCTCCCAGTAAACATCAAAAACATTTGTTTTAAGTTTACAAAATTCAGGTTTAAAAAATATATTGTGAAATTAACCTGTGCTGTGGTTTTATCAGCCAAGCTTTTTTAAGTCACAAGGCTTTTAACTGATAGCTTCCAAATCCTTAAAAAGAAAACTCTATACGTATTCCTCTGGCTATAATATTTAGCCGGTATGTTTTTAAAATTCAGAGTAAAAAGGGCTTACCTCAAGAATCAGTAAGTTCTCTGTCGTTTGTTAGATTCTTCCCTTGGGGAATCTGCCAACATAACTTTAAGTCTGACTCCATTAAGGATCTTTCCATGTAAAGTAGTAATGGCATCATTGGCGCTTATTCTATCTGCATACTTGGCATACCCCACGTTTTTTCCTGACACAAGGTAAACTTCGATCAGGTTACCAAAACGACTGAAACAAAGTAAAAAAATCAACCGAAATTGGTAAAAAATACAACTGCGTAGGTCCCAAAATTGGGGTCCATTCTGGACTCCTTTTCCATTCCTCTCCCCACACCCAATCTGCAAGCCAATCCTCCTTCTCAAGCACGTCCTCTATTAGTCAAGTTCTCTTCATTCTCACTCAGTTCCCCATCCTCATTCAGCCAGTCATGATCTTTTCCTTGGAATACTCAAACACGTTCTTCCCTTGTTTCCCTGCACCCTGGGCTTGTCCCTCTTCAATCTATTCTCTACCCTGTCTTCCCAGTGATCTCTCTAAAATACAGATACGATCATTTCCTCCCCAAAATTCCCTTCCAGGGTAAGGACAAACTCCCTAATGTGGCTTGTGGGCCTTTCTTGACATGGGCCTTGTTTTCTCCTGCTTCACCCTCCCACACAGTCTCTCAAATTCCATATTCTAATGATCTCCTTTCACATTCTCTCTGTAGGAAGAACCATCCGAACGCCCTCCTTTCTTCTATTGCTAAGTTATTATTGTCTATCAGGTCTCCGTTATACCTTGCTTCTTTAAGAAGTCTTCTCAGAGTCTTAAAAGTAGATGCTCCTCTCATGTATTTCATAGCCTGCACATTCCTTTTCACAACACTAACCTCACTAGGCTGTAACAATACCAACTTCAGTAGGCTGTAATATCCTACCTACTTGTCTGTGTCCTATATGAGATTAGCTCTCACAGGACAAGGACCATAATGTCTTACATAATACATTTTGTTTACACAATGTCTCTTGCACACAGCATGGTGACCACCTGGCACAAAGGAGATGCTCAAGAAATAAACTACATGAATCAGTTAAATGAACTACTGATATTTTATGCAGCTGTTCAATGAGTTTCCTGGTGTTTTTTTTTTAATTCACTAACACTGTTGTAAGGCAAACAGGAAAAAGACCAAAAAGAAAAAAGTTAAGATTCAAGGAGTTCTATTAAAAAAACAAAAATTAACAAGTGCCTTCCCTTTTTCTATATTTATTATATACTCTTCCTTACAATCAGGTAATTGTTTACTCAATATAATTCTTAAGGTTCCAAGAGAGTGTGGACAAAATAGAAGATGCTTAGTAAACTGTTCAGGTGAAATACTACTACAAAGGGAAAGATATGTAACAAGAATTTTAAAGGACAGGTCTATTTTTTACCAAGAAACAAATGATTTGTCCATTTTATGCGTGAAACTTTTCAAAACAATACTGTATGTTTTATGTCTTTAAAAGAAAATCGGAAATTCTGTGTGGAGACTTAGGATATGTAAATAGTAGAGAAGGAAATCATCATATATTTTAAAAGGTCATATAAATAAGGAATTTTTCTAAACTGCAAAACAAATCATTTCTACCTGATTAAGTATTGGATATAGAAGTTTCAAGATTGTGAGAGGACTTAAATTACTAGTTTAAATAAATTATATTATAAAACGTAACTTTGTGGAATTGAAATCTTACCAGAAAATATCCTCTAATACATCTAAAGGTAAAGGATGAGGATTAAACACGATAAAAAGTCTTTCTTTCACAGGAGTTTCAGGAGGGGCTTTTTTTTTGCATGATGGAAGTACAACATCTGTCTGGATTTGAGGCAACTGTGATCCAGAATTTCCTCCAAATTGCTGTTGAAGAGTTAGGTACAAAAACAAGAAAAAAGAAAAACTGCACTTTAAGGATTTTAAAGCCAAGAGCTAAAAAGATATATATATCACGGCTCCTATGTGATCTTTTACTACAGCTCTGAAAATTTTCTTTCCTAGGTAACAAACAGAGGCCACATTTATTACATACCCTATTGATGTACTACAGAGGTTAAATTTTTCCCTACTTACCAGAAATTGCTGCTGATTTGGGTTATTCCACACCATTGATGCAAGCTGTGCTGCTACCATCTGCGTTGCCATTTTTCTAAGGAGACTAAAGATAAGAACTGATAATTTACAGAAAACTAGAGATATTTAGTCTCTTACCCGTAACTTGTTTTGTGTGACTTCCTCACCCAAGAGGTCAACTGCTTTCTATTTTTATTCTTCAAGTCATATTATGTACGCCCTGCTTTAGACTCTCCTGAGATGGTACTTACTCTGTTGCATTACTCCCATCATCAATGAAGGAAACACCTATCCGGTTCCCAGGAGGGTACTGAAATCCATGTAACTTGTATTTTGCATAAATAGCTGATGCTACATTAAAATACTGAACCACTCCATGACCTAAAACAAAGTAGAGAATCAGGAATTAAAAACAAAAAACAAAGAGAATACCTAAAGCCTGTGTTGCCATAAAAATGAAACAATATAGAAATACCCTAGTATCACACAACCGGTGAATACAGAATCAAATGGGTCAGAAAACAACG